ATTCTCGCAAATGTCAAAGTTCTAGACTTACCAAAGTGTCGCACGCTGAATACTTCGGCAAATTGGAGCAAGCCTAAGAAAGATAATAAGTTTGATTTCCAACTAAGAAGAGTTTTACACCATACACCTTAATCTTATCTAAATCAAGAATATCGTTATTTAAGCTGAGATTACTAACTCTGTTGCATCCGTCGGTTTACTCCAACCTTAATCATCCCTTTAGCAATTGAAAATCAAAACAGACCGCTTAAATTTTCGTTTTGGTATGAGTGTGTGAATAAAATTTCTACGCAAACTGTCACTCACGGTTAAATCATCTATATCTTTCCTTTTCACAAAATATTTTCTCCTCTTTTTCGTCCAGTTAGTATCGATACCCCGTTTGCTTGTTTGTTTGTTTGTTTTTATGCAAAGAAATTGGAGGCAATCAAATTGAATTACACCAGGACATTTTAGTTACACTGCACCGCTTAGCCTTATCGATAACTACCGCTCTAACCTGATATCTTTAAACTCTTTTAGCCCTAAGATCATGTTTACTAATTCTCCTTACCTTCTGCCATACAATTCTTATGATGTTAGTTTGGGGAATCTGGTATTGGATCAACTTATAATCTCCCAATTGATGTTTTCCTTTATTTTAAGGATAACTTCTGTCCTATTCACTCAAGGAAGTTAAAGTATTAACAAATTGGTTTAGAGCGTTTCTGGTTCCGAAACGAAAAGTAATCTCTTTTAAGCTTTATATGAACAACTTACCAAAGACAACGAAAAAAACAGCATCAGGACTGCTACGGTTTTCATTTTGAGGACCTAAATCTAATCGAAATTAAATGGTGCAAGCTTGAGGATCGAAACTGACTCAGTCTTAACTGAGTAAAACTACAGATTGCCGGGTCAGTTATTTTTATACGTTTTTGTCACGTGATGGCAGATTTCGCACGATGCTATTGAAAAGCTGTTTGACAGGCTTTTGAGTAAAAATGCTTGGATCCTGTCAATCTAATAACAGACATGAAAGAGGTCCAGGGCTTTAAGAAACTTTTCAAAAGGAAACGAAAATGTATGCCCTCTGCAGAAACATTAACCGACCTCTTAGTGAAAACGTTAAGTTGTCGTTTAGCCCATTCTTATTATTTTTTAAGAGAAAATGGCGGGGAGGATATAAGACTATGAGTCATTGCTTAGAATCCATAAGTAGCCGTTGATGAAACATGAGAGTTTTAAGTTTGGTTATGCTTACAAAAGCAACGCTACTTTTATAAGCTTCCTCTTCAGTTCTTAAAAGTACAATGTACAATCTCTTAAACATGTAATCGATTATTACTTCAGCCTGTGTCCAGTTCGCGCGAGTTCAAATAATCTATCATAGTCGTAAAGAGCTTGTAATATATGTTAAGCATCTGTGAAAACACGCCACATACAAGAAACAACATATTTAACAGTCTAATGGAAACTTAGATAAATATTGAGTAGAAGTAACACTTTACAGCACATTTAAGCAAAGGCTCCTTAATCTGTTTTGTCGAAAACCACA